CTCAGCTCTGAGCGTGCAGCTTCTCCACGCAGATTCCCGTGCATTTGGGTGTCAGTTTTGAACGTGGTCAGCACCAAAGTGACACTTGGCAGTGCAGGAGGAGGAGAAGGACGTTGCCAAAAGCCTGATCTCAGCTGCTGGTGCCGGTTCCAGCCCTGCAGCGCTGCACAGTCCGAGCACGAGGCTGCTGAAGGAAGGGAGCGGCCACCCAAATTTAGCATTTCCTGCTGTTTAATACTCAGAATTGATCTGCTTTCTGATTAGGGAGGAAGAGGTGCTGGGGGGGAAGCGGAAACAGGGGTGAGAGAGCAGCTTTCCAAAGCCTCGCTGGTGTTGGGCCCTACACCCCCTGTAGCCATGGGGTCCCTGCAGCCACAGGGTCCCTGCAGCCCCTCTGGTCCCACTCGGACGGGCTGTGGGGTTGTGTCTGGGTCCGTGACCCTCCTCGCCTGCAGAGGAGCGCGGCTCCTGCAGTCTGTGTGCCCGGAGATGTGTTTTGTTGATGTTCCCCTCTCCCAGGAGCTGCCCAGCAAACTCCTGGCTGTGTGAGGAAAGGTTTTCCAGCAGAGCGAGGTCACTGGAGCTTTACTGGCAAAGCCTCTTACACGTAAATGAAGATTATGCTGGGGAGAGCTTATGCTGGTACAGTTTATTCTGGTACAAATGAGCTATCCTGGGAAAAAAGCACCTCTGCGCTGTTGTTTGTTTCTGCCCCGGGACATTTTGTGGTCTAGAAATGGTAAATCACAGCCCGTGATAATGCTGCCGTGTCAGCTTTAAGGTTCCCATCCTGTGATTCTGTGATCCAGACGTGGGTGTCTGCTGGTCCAAACTGGAGCTTTCTGCCCCAGGAATGCCAAGGGGATGGAAAAGAGCAATGAAGCTGCTCAGGGCCATTGGGTGCTTGTCTGCACTGGCTGAGTGGCAGCCGGATGAGGATGGGGACTAAAGTTTTATGAAGACATTTTCTTCCCTTACTGAGAATTAATAATAGCACAAGAACTCTGTCTGTCAGGAGGCAGGAGAGGGGGAAAATACGAGTAAGGTTGAGCCAGCAGTTGAGATGCTGCCTGGGTCTTGCAATAGCCGGGATCTATTCCCAGCTTTGGCTCCGATTTCCTGTGTGACCTTGGTGAAGGTCACAGAAGCCTGAGCCCTGCTTGCTCTGTGCCTGTTGACGGGGCTGTTGTGTTGTCAGGGTATTGCTCTCTCTGTACCTCAGTTTCCCCACTGGATGATGGCTCCAAAGGGGAGCTTGCAGAGACAGGGATCTGCAAGGAGGCAGGGCAGCAATGAGCACCATGCCAGAAAAACAGGACTAGGCTCCTTATCTTGAGACCAGATCCAAACCCGGTGGCTCCAGTCTCAGTGCGGTGTATTCAGCTGAGGCGGGTTCCCTGCTGTGGAACACGCTTCATCACTGCACATGGATCATGAGGCCCAGGCCAAAATGCCATGCTCTTTGGGAAAATCCCCCCCCAGATTCTGTGGCTCATGGGTTCGTAGTTTAGAGAAAGGAAAAAGAGCTCCACCGCGAGTTCCTGAGCTGCTGAGGAGCTCTCGTTGCCATCGCCCAACTGCCGTGGGGCATCGCACAAGATATATAGAGGTCGTTGTGTTTAAACAAAGGACACAGAGAAAATAGCTGCAATTTATGGGTGTGACACGAGGGGAAATGCTTGGAGAAGGGTTTTGTTTTTAGAAACAGGCACAGAGTTTATTTTGGTCAGGAGATAGTCACAACCCCCCAACACGGACAGTCTCACACTGCTTGAGCTGCAGACGTGCTCAGCAAAATACCTCCCATCTGCAGCAGTGTGAGTGGTATCCATCAGTTTGGGGGTTGTTTGTTTCTATGGGGTTATTCGATCAATTGAGGCTTCTTTCCTTTTGTAATTCATCGTTTTCTAGTGCTTCTTAGCATTCAAGGTCCTCAGGGATGCTTGTGATGAGTGAGGAGTGTGGGCTTGGCTGGCCAGGTTGGACAGGGCTTGGAGCAACCTGCTCTAGTGGAAGGTGTCCCTGGCTGTGGCAGGGGGTTGGGACTGGATGAGCTTTAAGGTCCCTTCCAAACTGTTCTATGATTCTCTGATTCTATGGCTGATGTCCAGCTCTGATCCCCATCTCTCCGCCTCAAGTCATTATCTTCCCCAAATGCATCTTCCCACTGGAGCGTTCCAGGCACTGGCAGTGTCTGTGCAGAGTTGCCTCAGGCGGAATCTTGATTTTTCCCCTGGAAAAAAAGACCCAAATCTTTTTCCCTATTTGCAGTTATTTGAAGGTGAACGTTTCCCTTTGCTGCTCGTCACACAGCAGTGGGAATCGCTGTGCAATTTGGGCTGCGGAGGAGGAAGCGTTTGGATGAGGAGTGCAAACATCCCTGTGTCCAAGGGGTTGCTTTGAACCGGGCTTTGCGTCACGGTGCTCTGAAGGAGTTCAGGTCTGGTTCAGGTTTCAGAGCGGTTGGCCAAGGGTTGGGTGAGAACACACCCAGATGTGTCCGTGCCTGCACACGCTTCTCCCCGACGGGCCTGTGCAGCACAGGGTTAGTGCTGCTCTCGCCTCCTTCCCTGGCTCTTGCTGCTGCCTGAGCTATTTGCTCCAGACCAGCCCTACCTCACACCCAGTTCCTCGCTGGGTGCCGGGACTGTGTCTGTGGGAAGTGTAAACAGGATGGGTGAGGGGAGGTACAGAGTGCCTGGGACTGGGAGCTCCCACGGTCCCAAGGGATGAGTGTTGTGGGACCCAGGAGATGGGCATTTTTGGTACCCAGGGGATGGGTGTTTTGGTACCCAGGGATGGGTACGTTGGTAGCCAGGAGATGGGTATTTTGGTAGCCAGGAGATGGGTATTTTGGTAGCCAGGAGATGTGTGTTTTGGTACCAGGAGATGGGTATTTTGGTACCCAGGAGATGGGTGTTTTGCTACCCAGGGATGGGTATTTTGGTACCCAGGAGATGAGTGTTTTGCTACCCAGGGATGGGTATGTTGGTAGCCAGGAGATGGGTATTTTGGTACCCAGGAGATGTGTATTTTGGTACCAGGAGATGGGTATTTTGGTAGCCAGGAGATGGGTGTTTTGGTATCCAGGAGATGGGTGTTTTGCTACCCAGGGATGGGTATGTTGGTAGCCAGGAGATGGGTATTTTGGTACCCAGGAGATGGGTATTTTGGTAGCCAGGAGATGGGTGTTTTGGTAGCCAGGAGATGGGTATTTTGGTACCCAGGAGATGGGTGTTTTGGTACCCGGGGATGGGTGTTTCAGGAGAGGTGCCGGCCCTGCACGTGGCTTTGCTTTCAGATGTGCTTGAGTAGGCACGGGCCGGTCGCCAGTAACCTGCCTGTGACCTCTCCTGCCTTATTCAGGATCTTTTAAAGGAAGGACTGTGCTTTGCTGCCTTCCCTTTGCCGGCAGGTCAAGTGCCTGTTTCCCCTGGCCAGGGGATCCAATGTGTCCTTGGAAGGTGTCCATCCATCCATCCATCTATCCATCCATCCCCTTGGCTAGTGAGAGTTTCTGGGGGTCCTTCAGAGAAGTGCTGGCAGGGACCCCATTCCCACAGGCCACATCCCAGCTGGCTGGAGCACGTTGTAGCACCCATCCCGGCCATTTAAAGGCACCCAAAGCAGAGAGCCAGGGAGCCCAATCCCGCTGTGCTAAACCCCAGGAGCAGATCCCAAAGCCTTGAGGAATATCCCAGGTCACTGCTGTGCCACTGCACGTCAGTCAGCTGCGGGTGGTGTGGTGGCAGGCGGTTGTTTTATATCGACATCCTGCGGGAGCCGAGGTGAGGCCAATCCCCAGGGATGGGGATGTTCACCTCTGCCATGGAGACACATGCCAAGGCCCATGGTGCTGGCTCACTGCGATGCTGGGATGGCTTTGGAGAAGCTGGCCCTATGGCTTTGGAGAGGAGCATCACTGCTGTGCTGGACCTTTGCTTTCTCGTGATGGGGTTTCCTGCTGGGATCAGTGATCTCTGGGCAGATTGCTGGGGCTGGGCTTGCTAATTTGGAGCTAATTGCTCCAAAATCCTGGGAATGGAGCTGGCCCCGTGCAGGTGACTGCAGGCACCGCTTCCCAAGCTTCAGTCAACTTCGGCGGCTGGAGCCAAAAGCCGTGGCTCCGGGACCCCATGAGCAGCGCCTGGGCAAGCGGCTGTGCCGGTGCCTCCCGCTCCCTGGGCCCCCCTTTGCTGGTGTGAGCCGGGGCAGTGCCGGGGGTGCTGGGGTGAGCAGGGCGATGCCGCGGGGCCCCCGGCGCCTTCCGGCAGCTCCGCTCGCAGCCAGCCCCTTCCTCGCTGCGGATTGTTTTGCAAGCGGCGTGACAGGATGGGGAGGAAATGTGCCAGGAGCGGCTCCGCGGCTCCTCTCGGGAGAGCTGGAGGCTATTTTTAACCCCCCCTTCCCGCCCTCCTCCTCCCGCTCCCCCGGGACGCGGGGCCACAGGGGCAGGCGCAGCCCCGCGCTGCTGCCTGCAGGGAAGCTCCGTGCGGCGCACGCAGGATTCCCCCCGCACGCTCCTGCCCTGGGTGCACAAACACCCTGTCCCTGGCAGACCGCCCTCCCCACCGCTGCCGCGTGCGGGTGCTGCCGCCTGTGCAGCCCCGCCGTGCTGCTGGGATAGATCCGGGTTATCCTGCAGCATGGGGAGCACTGGTGGGTTGACCCCCGGCACCGGCCGCAGCAGGGGTGCTGCCTTCGTGCCAGGGTTTAAAGCTGGGTACAGCGGGTGATGAGTAGGATGGAGACAGGCGTCCTGATAGGTCTCGGGGTGGAGGTGCCCTCAGCGCCTGCCCTCGTGCCTGTGAGGGTCCTCCAGCGGAAGGTGGTTGTGAAAGATGCACTGGGAATTTCGAGGGCAGGTTCAGAGCAGCCCCATGGCAGGGCAGGGAGCGGGGGACTCTGCTCAGGGCTTGCTGCAGCGATGCAGTCAGACTGGGGACTGTCCTGTCCTGGGTGGGAGACTCAACCCCGCTTCTCTCTTTCCTCTCTTACAGATTTCTCCAACCAAGTCAATTCCACATCCCTGAACTCTCCCACAAGCCGGGGGCCCATGGCCACCCCATCCCTGCACCCGTCCATCGGGCCAGGCATTGGCTCCTCGCTGGGCTCCCCGGGCCAGCTCCACTCACCCATCAGCACCCTGAGCTCACCCATCAATGGCATGGGACCTCCGTTCTCCGTCATCAGCTCCCCCATGGGCCCGCACTCGATGTCCGTCCCGTCCACCCCCAGCCTGGGATTCGGCACCAGCAGCCCGCAGGTAAGGGGCGGTGGTGGGAATGTTGCAGCTGCCTGTTTAGCCGGGGAGAAGCCATGTCTATGGGGTTCCTGATCCAGAACGGGCTCTGCCCTCCCTGCTGCAAGCCCCGGCTAGCAGGATGCTGCAGTGGCCTGGGTGGGCTACAAGGGACCAACACAGCCGGTGTATGGCCGTACATCACCTCCCATCGCTTGTACCCTCCAGTCCTGCCCTGTTTGTCCCCAGGCTGGGGGTGACAGGGGAGCAGTGACTGCCTCTGGGAACCCTGAAGCTCTGGATGGACCCGGAGCCACCCCAATGCTTCTCACTGCCCTGTCCCTCCCTTGGGAAGCCCACAGTCCCCATGGTGCACACTGAGGGGCTCTCCTCGAGGGCAAGGGATGATGTTCACTGGCTGGAGATGAGGTAAAACCCCTCCAAGCCTGGAGCGATAAGCTCTGTTTAAAAATAGCATGATAGGGCTGGCCCCTGCCACCTGCTGCTGGTGCCGTGGTGTTCAGTGAAAGGGCAGATTAAGGAATTGGCCTCCACCTGCCCCTGGATGCGGGTTAGTCATTCCCGGCCCCAGCAGGCACCTGCCGGCACCTTTATTTTTAACTACGGGATTCATTCCCAGAGATAACGGGTCTGCTGGTCCCCATCCCAAGGCAGGAGGTGCATGGGGTGGATGTGCCGCCTGCGTCCCTTGGCCAGGGGAAGGGGAACTGAAACAGCTCCTGGGAATGGGCGGCTGGAGCAAAATTAGCACCGAGAGCACCAAAACGGTGGGGAAGGAGTGGGAAGGGGGATGTGAAGCAACACAGGGATGAGCCGTAAGCTGGGGTGGAAATGGGGAAGGGGTGATGCACCCCCTGCATCAATTGTAGTGGCTGTAGGGAGCGGCGAGCTGGGGGAACTGAAAAAGCAGGGCAGAAAAGGGGAATTGAGAATGTGGTGCTGGGGGTGAGCTGGCACCACGGCGGCTCCATCAGCGCCGGGCAGGAGCCTTCGTTCAGGGCTTGTCTTAAGTGGTTTTCCTGGAGGTGACAGCGAAGAGGTCTCCAGCCTAGTGGTTCCCACCATCTGTTCCCTGTCTGGGCACATTAGGTCCCTGTCCCATCCCTGCAGCAGGCAGAGGCACCTACCTGGGAGGATGAGGCTGGTGCAGGCAGGCAGTGGGGCTGATGCTCAGGGGGGACCGCAGCCCCCCCACCACTGCCGCGGTGTAATGAGGCGAGAGGCCCCCATGGCTGCACGGGGATGGCACTGATGGAAGGTGCTTTGAATCAGATGGCAGATGCCACTTGCCATCAGGCCATGCCTCATCACCTCCGGAGAGCCAGCGGAGCAGAAGGGCACAGGGCGTGCAAGGGGTGGTGGTCCCCCCACCCCTGCTCCTGCAGCAGCTGGGGTGGACAGGGGTGTGGAATGCTGGGTGTTATCCCTGTCCCATGTGGCTCCTCCAGGGTGAGCAGCCAGCAGCCCTGGGTACCAGTGTCCAGAGGATGCTCAAACCGCTCCCGGTGCCCTCCCACTGCACTGTGCAACTTCCCAGGTTTCCAAATGCAGCCCCAGTATCAGGGCGTGAGGCAGGGGTCCTGCCATGGGATCCCAGCACGCAGGGATGCTGGGACGCAGCTGGGGTAAGGCGTCTGGGGCAGGAGCTGGTGAAAGCAGGGGCAGTTTGCAGTGGAGAGCAAGGTCTCAGCCGCGCTGTGGGGCTGGACCCAGCACTTTACTGGGATTTAACACATTTTGAAACCCTCTTGTCTACAAATTCTGGAAAAACGGGAAAAATCAGGATTTTCCGCAGGGGCTGGGGGGAGGGCCCTGCCCACGCGCTCGCAGCCGCCCCAGGCATCGCTGGCAGCAGCTCGGGTGAGCGGGAGCAGATCAGGATTAGGCTTTTCCAGAGCCGCGCTGCCTTTGCTCAGGGCTTTGTGAGGGTGCCCGGGGCACCGGGGAGCGGGTGCGGAGCAGAGCCGGCAGGGACAGCCTGGGTCTGCGGTGCGGGGAGGTGCGGAGGGGAGGGAGAGGCGGCGGGGGCTCCGCTCCGAGCCGGGCCGGGGAGGCAGCGCGGGCGCCGGGCGCGGTGGGAACCCCCGGCCCGTGGTGCCCGGCCGGCGCGGGCAGAGGAACCCGTGATTTCCTGCAGCCCAGCCCGGGCTGACTCAGCTCCAGCCCCGGCTCCTGCTGGGTGTGGGGCTGAGGAGGGTGGGTGACACCCCCCCCCCCCTTGCCCCGTTGTGGTTTTGCACACTGTGCCCCCCAGGTGCTCTTGGGGCTGCCGTGGTTGGCTCCGTGAGCTCTGTGGTGAGGAAAGGTTTATTATCATCAGCATGGAATCACAGGAGCACGGAATGGTTTGGGTTGGAAGGGACCTTAGAGCTCACCCAGCTCCAACCCCTGCCACGGGCAGGGACCCCTTCCACTGGAGCAGCTTGCTCCAAGCCCCTGTGTCCAGCCTGGCCTTGAACACTGCCAGGGATGGGGCAGCCACGGCTGCTCTGTGCCAGTGTCCCACCACCCTCATAGTAAAGAAATTCAGGCAATGACGAAATGGCTCCAGAAGTGCCCTGGGAGGAATTCCCGGAGCTGGAGGGATGTGGTACAGCAGAGCCAGCAGCTTGCAGGGTAGCTCAGAGAGAGGCTTCGTGCCTGGGGACCCACAGACCCCAACGAGTGCTCCTGCCTGGGGCCCACTCATCCCTCCCCTGCCTGGTCTATCACAGGGTAACCAAGCAGCAGCTAAACCCTAGGAGCCTGGGTGGCACCGGGTCCCACTGCCTTTGGTTCCTCCGCTGGCACAGGCAGGCAGGAGGGGGAGGCAGATCCGTCGCGTTTCTCCGGGGTGGGTTTTCCTTGCTCTGTTCCGTGGTTATTAGTCATCCTCCTGCTAAGCCCTCCCCACCAGCCTGGAGCCTTCACAGCCAGAGCAGCGGCTGTGTGGCTCTAATTGACGGATCACGAGCCCTGGGATTTCCCTGCATTAACGTGTGACAAGTGCAGTTGCTGAGTGTGTCTGTGAGGGTGGAGAAGCACAACAAACCAAGGCACAAATCCTGCGTATCCAACCTGGATTTAGCAGCTGGCAGGGATGGAGGCTGTGTGCCTGGGAGGGCAGCCGCAGCCTCCCGCCTGTGCTGCGTCCAGAGCTGCCTGAGCCCGGCTCCCCCCAGCCCGCTGTCCCTGTGTCTGGCCCACATCTGAGTTTCTCTCGGTACATGGAGAGGGGGGAAAACTGCACAGGGCAATGTGGGAATCAGCCCAGGCATCCGCTGCTCAGTCCCAGCACCATGGGGCCATGGCAGCACTCAGCTTCCAGCCGGTTCCCTGCTTTCTTCACCAGCCACTGGAGACCGAGCTCACTGGGGAGGGAAGGGGAGGTGTGCAGTGAGGCTGCTGCAAGGCTGGAGGTTGCAGGGGAGCGTCCCACCCAAGGCAGCTCTGGAAAGCCAGGCCCTGTTGCATCTGGGATCTATTTATTTGCTGTGAAGGTTTCCTTTGGAGGGATAATGCAAAAAGGATATCTATAAATCGCAGAGCTAAAGCGCGCGTGTCCTGGCCTTCATCATCCATGCAAGTGCTTGCTCCCAGCCAGCAGCTCTCCCACAAACCATCACTGCAAATCATGTCCCCACTGGAAGCGTGTCCCCTGCCCCTGTCTGAGCATACAGCCAGCCCAGCTGTGGGGCTGCCCAGCCCCACATCCGTGTCCCCAGCTCCCCACTGAGCACTGTGATTCTGCCTTGACAGCTCAACTCGCCCATGAACTCCGTCAGCAGCACAGAAGACATTAAGCCCCCCCTGGGGCTCAACGGAGTCCTCAAAGTGCCAGCACATCCCTCAGGAACGATGGCCTCCTTCACCAAGCACATATGTGCCATCTGCGGGGACAGATCTTCAGGTGAGGCCAGTGCCTGCCCGGGGTGGTCACAGCGGTGTGCGGGTGCCCTGGGGAGCCTGGCGAGGGCTTGCACAGCTCCCTGCACACAGGCCATCGGGAGAGGAGCTGCCCGTGCCCCCATAGGGGCCAGGAGAGCCCGAGGGGTCTCTGCTGAGGGTGTTACACCCTCATCCCCAAGCAGCACAGCCCTTGTCTGAAGACAAGGCAGCAGTGAGCGTCCCTCTCTGTACCCATCCTTTGATCCGCAGTGGTACTGTCACATCGCGCCAGATAGAGAGATGTGCTTCACATGGAGTGTCTGCACTCCAGGGAGATAAAGATGTGCTAATTCCCTTTATTCTCATGCTGTTTCAAAAGCTTTCTGCTCCAGAAGTGCTCTGGTTGCCTTGTTTGTGAGGCCCTTAGGGACACCTCCCGCCCCTGTCTGGCTCTGAGGCTTCAAGCGGAGGGTGGTTCTGTGCTGCAGAGTGGGCTGGGGCATGTGTCTGGTGTGGGGAGTCCATGTGGGTCACAGGGGATCGGGGGGGGGGTTGTCCCCCAGTTTCACTGCATGCTCACCCCTGATGTATGGCTAAGAAATGACAAGGGCTTTCCCTGGGTATAAGGCTGGTGGTAGCCCGTGGAGGGCATCCTGGTTTATGGAAGTCACTGCTTTTTAATTCACAGCTCCAAGAAACCCCTGCTTCCCGCAGACATGGCCCTGGGAATTGCTGATGGTCTTTGTGGCCAGGGGGAGCAAAGGGGGGACACTCAGTGAGTCACAGAATCATCGAATACCATGTTGGAAGGGACCTCAAGGGTTCTGGTCCATCCTTTCTAGGCAAAGCATCACCTAGACTGGATGTCCCAGCATCTTGTCCGCCACCTCCCTGTGGAGATTATTGCAATGGTTGCTTGTTCCCATGGTGAACAAAGATCCTCTTGTGTCTTGAGTCCCCCTAACCCGATTCTCCCCCCACAGGAAAGCATTACGGGGTTTACAGCTGCGAGGGCTGCAAAGGCTTCTTCAAGCGCACGGTGCGGAAGGACCTGACCTACACGTGCCGCGACAACAAGGACTGCCTGATCGACAAGCGCCAGCGCAACCGCTGCCAGTACTGCCGCTACCAGAAGTGTCTTGCCATGGGCATGAAGCGAGAAGGTGAGGCAGGGGGAGCCTGCCCTGGGCTCCCAGGGGTGCTGCGGGTACCTTTCCTTCGCCAGGGTGCTCCTGTGGGCAGCATCACGTGCACCGGAGCTGGCGTGAGCCTTGCGGAGGGCTGCTTGGGCCGGGGTTTGCATTTTGCCTTTGCGCCACAGCCGAGGTCTCTTCTGGGCTCCAAACCAGTGCCAAGCCCCAGGATGGTCCCCAGCTGGGCACTGGCGAGACAAAGACCAGGTTTAACTCATGGGTTACTGAGCACCATCCTCCTCCTCAGGGTCTGCTGCGTGGGCACCCACACTGAGCACTGGCTGCTCCGCCTCAGCCCTGTTCCCATCAGCACCAATGCTGCTGTTGTTTTCTCATTGGGAAGAAGAAGGAAATTCAGTCTCACAAAAGATCTCTCTCCCCCCACTGGAATTTAAATGCAGGCTCTCAAGCTCCCTGGCAGTGCCTCTTTCAAATGCTCTTTTTAAATGCTGACTGCATCTGTTTTAAGCTGCTGGCAGAGCAGGCTTTTACCAGACGTGACGTGAGAATTGACCCCGTGGTGCTGCTCAGTTCTCTGCTGCCTTCTCCCCTTACATCTCCAGAGCCACACTTGCCTCCCTGACTGGCGATAAACCCGTCCCTCTGCCCAGTCACCCTGGTTGCAGCATCGCTCCAGCCGGCTCTCTTTGAAGAGCACTTAGTCCTGTCTGGAGCATTAATTAAGCAGGGCAGTGCTGGAGCTGCAGCTGAGTGCTGCGCAGCCCGGCCGCGCTGGGGTCACCTAAGGACCCACCGTGAGCAGAGTCTTCAGCTGTCAAAGCCGTCTGGGCTCGAGGTGCGGGGGGATTGCATCGCTTTGGAGTTGGGGCACCCAGGGCTCCTCCGTGGCCCTGCAGAGCTTAACCCTTTGGTGCTCGGGAGTGGAGCTTCCTGGAGCTCCAGACCTCTGGTCTGAGGTGGAGACATTCAGGAAATGCCTCTGAAGATGAGGGGCAGTGCAGGAATAATCCTCCGTGTGCAGGAGGTGGCACTGCCCTGGCTGCTCCGCAGATGGGCAGAGCATGGAGCACGCAGGATCCCATGGGATGTGTGCATCAGGAGGAGGAAAGGCTGATCTCCAGCCATGGGAGACTCAGGTAGCTAAAATGAAGCTAAGAAGTCTCCTGTGGTTTGGAGAGTGGAGCATTGTGGAGCATCCCATTGCCCTGGCATTGCATCCGGAGCCTTGCACTGGAAGCTGGAGACCTGCTTTCCTTTCAGACCCCTAGAATGCCTCAGCCAGCATCCATAGGGAAGAGACTCCAGAGCTAGTTGGGAAGGGAACCCTGCAGTAGTGAGAAGGGAACACCATCAGTAACGCTTTAACCCTGCAGCCTGCACTGACACTGGTGATCGGGTCCTGCTTCATGCCTGCTGCAGGTGGTGATTGCATGGGCAGCACCACTGATGTTACAGGTCCATTAATTAATTCCTCCATGGTGGTGGAATTCCCCAGGGAGTGCATACAGCGTGAGGACTCGATTAATTCATCTTGATTAACGTTATCACAATGAATACCAAATGAATTCATAACCATCAGGCAATTATTTAGAAGTGTGACAGATGGGATCCTCCGGACTCGGGCAGTGCTGGCGGATCTGACACTGGCACTGCTGGGGCCAGCTCAGGGAAGGGCAGGAAGCCAGGGCATCGGCAGTGAGCAGATGTTTGGGGTATGATCCCTGTGTAGGGAAGGCTGGAATGACTCTCCCAGTCCTCAGAGAAACCTTTTGCTTGTTATAAACTGAAAAACTTGGGGCAGGTTTGGGGATGTCCCAGTGTTATCCCAGATCTGACAGTGAGAAGCTGGATCTCGCTGAGCTTTGGGTTTGGGCAGCTCTTGAGTTTTACACATGACAGCCACGTGATTTGCCAAACCCAGAACATCCTTCCCATTGCATCCATCCTTTGGCAGGCAGGAGCCTTGTCCTTGCACCAGTCCCGCTGCCTCCCCATCACCTCAGTTTGAACAGTTTTGGGCTAAATCCTGTATTGCTAATTCCTTTTGCCTGTATGCTCACAACATAGCTGGCTTCTTATCCTCTAGTGTAATCTTGTTGCATCTTTTAAGTAACAGAACCAGGATAATAGGCCTCATTTCCCCCAAAATTATCTTTCTCTGGAGACCTAATTTATTGCTGTATAAAAGCACAGAAGATTTCTGCTGGGGAAGCATCTCTCTTGTAGCCCAAAGGTATTTGTGTGTCATGGAAGTACAGTAAAACCCTCTAAACCAAGGACTGTAGCTCTGATGAGAGAATAGCTGCTAAAGGCACCCTGCCTGGTGGTGAGCGGACCTGCAGAGTGATGCTGGGAGGATGAGGGCTGAGGGGTGCATACGCAAAACCTGTGCCAGAGGGGTGAAAGCAAAGGGCTTCTTGCATAGCCAAGAGGTTGATTTAAAGAAAGGAAGGAAGGATGGATGGAGGAGGGGTTGGTTCAGGGCTGTGAGGCTCAGCTTGAGGGGGTGAAAGTCTGCGGGAGCAGAAGGTTCCTTCTGCTGTGTACACCTCTTCTTGCTGCTCCCCATTCAGAGCATCTAAGATAGATCCTGGCACTGTGGTCACGGTGAATGAGCCTTCTGGACTCTGAGGGTTTGCAGCGGTAATAAACAAGCAACTGGGAACTTTTTCCTCTATGAATTACTGCCAGCTGTGTGAGGCTTTGGGGTTTGTTCTCTGTCTCCCACTAAATACCAGATAGCCAACAAAATTAAGATTACCATCAGGGATCTTGACTAAAGCAGGGATTATTACTGTGGGGGTGGCCATTTGAATCCAGAAGCATAACTCTGCTTGATCTGTTCCTCGTTGAGGTCTAAGGTGTCTGTGTATCAGCAGCATTGTAATTTGAAGGGAAAATGTGGACTCTGCCTTGGAGTTAGGGAGGCAGAGGTCTTGTGAAGAGGTGGGAGTGAGCACTGAGGGTCTGGGGATGAAGGCACTTGCATGCAGTGCCATTGGCGGGGGTTACTTCAGGGGTGAAGGGAGTCACTGGGGACTCCCCACCCCACAGGCTCGTGCTGCAGTGCATCACTGTCGTGTGATGAAGTCCTGGCCCCTCTGCTGCTGGCAGCGCCGCGGGATTGGGATCGGGATCGGGATTGCGCTGAGCAGGAAATACCAGTGAGGAGCCTTTCCCATGCTCCCGCCAGCCGCCCTTGGACTGCTTGCAGGGAGCGGAGTTGGGAACCAGCCCTGCTCCATCTCCTGCCTCTCCCTGCCCCGGTGCTGCCTCCGGACGTGAGCAGCTCGGCTTGGAGCCCGTCTGCAGGCCAGGCCATCCTGCCCTGGTGCTGCGGCTCGGGCTGAGTAACTCGCACCCAGCATCATTCCTAAATCCAGGCACAGATACTGTAATGGTGGGCTGGCTACAGCGCGGCTGCAGCTTGCCTCCGTCAGCTGCTGTGACATGATCCAGAGCTGTGCTCTGAGGATCCAGGACATCTGTCCGGTTGCTTGCCTGATCTCTCAAGACCTCATTAAACTTCACAGCCTGCGCTAATTCTTCCCCTGTGTTTGTGGGTTGGTTTTCCCCCTCTTGTCAGGCTGAGGGATTTAACCTAGAAGGGGATTGACTTGCAGCATCACAGGGAGTGACTCCAGGCTGCGGCTCGGAGCTGCTCTAATACATCACCAAGTCCAGAGGGTCCAAAGGTTCCCCCTGGTTTAACCTGGAGTGACTTGAGCTCAGCTCCTGCACCAGCACAGCAGCCCCTGAGCTGTTCCTGATCCCCTGCCCTGGCTGGGCATCCCCCTGCACCCCGGCCCTGGAGCCATCCCGGCCCCCACCACATCTCTGGGGACCAACAGGAGAGCAGCCTGGGGAGAAAGGGCAGGAATTCAGGTCTCCAGCCCTCTGTCCGAGTGAATGTAAAAGCAGGCAAGTGGCTGTGCCCTGGTGAAGGGGCAGAGGTCAGGAACACAGCTATTTTTAGTAATAATTTCGGAATGGAAAATGTCTTTCAGCTTAATGAGCTTGTTTCTTATATCCTTTTAAAGTGCTGTCTTTAAACCAGCTGGTTAAATGATGCTGGGCTTGTTCTTTGTTTTTAAGGATACTCTTGGGTTGAGGGAAGGGTTTGGTTTGTGGTTTTCTCTCGTTGTTTTAGCAATGCTGCTGTTTGCTTCAGCTTCGCAGGGTCTGGCTTGGAGAGTGGAGTGAGCATTTAATTGAAAATGTTGGAGAAAACACCACTGGTTTCTTGTGTCTCAGCTTTTGAGGTTGTTTGTAGCAGCAGAAAGAGGAAACGCTGGATTGGTTTCCTTGGCTGGATAGCATTTCCAACATGAGCAGGTACCTTGGGCATAAGCGCTTCAAGATGCTGGTGATGCCCAGCAAAGATGTAGCTTCATAAAAGGCAGCAGAGCCAAATAAATCCTACCAGTAGTGAAACAGAAATCCCCAAAACTCTCCAGCCAGCACCCACCTGCAGGCTCAGGAAAGACTGAGCAGGTTTGGGGCTTGGAGACCACCAGAACCCTAGTGATGCTGCGGCATGTGCCCAAAATGCATCCAGTTGGAGTGGTCTGGAAAGCATCGTTATCCCTGTTTGCTCTGGGGACTCTACATTTGCTGGGAAATGGCAAGGAGCAAAAGGGATGAAGGCCGGAGATGATCAGAGTGTGCTAAGAAGAATGGGAGAACCAAGGCCAGAAAGTGCATCTTCTGTTCATCCCCAAGGACCGGGCTGAGCATTGGTGCTGGGCTCCCCTTGCCCAGGGGCTCCAGATGCTGGGCCTGTCCCCCAGAGAAAACCCCATTCAGTCCAATTTTGGTGGGAGTGAATTATCCTTCTCCATGGAAAGAAGCAAGCCCCAAGCCAGTCATCACGCTATTGTTCCTGGATGGATGGATGGATTTTCATCTCGGAAACAAACACATGTCTGTATTAATAGTAAGTGGTAATGAGGAGCCGTCAGTGCCTCCATGTCTCCCAGCAAACAAACAAGCCTGGGATGCTGCTACCCACGGAGGGTCGTGGTGAAAATCCTGTCCCTTTGGGCCTCTTTCTGCTCTTCTTAACATTCCTCTGGCCCAAAAGCCGGTGCTGAGCATGGCCGGGCAGTGGCCGGTGTGGGGAACCCGCTGCCAGTGCCCATGTGGCATCTGTGACCGCGTGTTAAAGACAGCAAGCACTTGACAGGGTTTAACACCTGATTAGTGGGCAGGTGGCAGAATCGGGTTTCTCTGCAGGAGCCCAGGCCTAGGAAAGAACTTTTGCTGTAGGACTGGGATTATGGGAGCTCACAGCACAGGGACTCAGCAATGTTCATCACAGTGCTCGTGATGCAGTGGCACGAGCTGGGGATGCTGCGGTGGTTTCTCAGCATCTCCAAGCCCTCTCCAGAGCCTCAGGAGCAGCTTGGTCTTCTCCAGCAGCTGAAACATTCATTACTTGAGTCCACCACTGGCACTGGTTGGTTTGGTCACCTTGTTTAGCAAAGGCAAGGAGCCCAGTGTGGATGGGCACACCAGCAGAGGATGGGTCTGGCCTTTTGCACATCAGCCCTTGGAACGTGGGCAGCTGGGGCTCATCTGCAGTCCATGGGATGAGGTGATTTGGTTCTTAAAGAGAGAAGTGGTCGTGACACATGGGGCTTCGTCTCTTGCTGTGCCATGGCCTGGGGAAGTGCAGATGGGCTGGGAAGCTGGAGATGAAAAATGACAGCGACCAGCCTGAGGCAAGCACAGGCCAAATCAAGCAGAATGACACTTCATCAGGTGCCATGGAAAACAGGCTTCTGTCCTTGGCTCGGCTGAGGCATAGCTGGAGGAGGTGGGGCTGCCTCGTGAAGCTCTTGGACTACAAAAGCTTTTTTTCTCCTCAAGTGGATTGCGAGGTCTGGATGCTTGCCTTGCGTTAAAATGAGACCAGAAACCCTTGCAGCCACATGAATCTCCTTGAAAACAATTAAAAGCATTGGCACAGCCACGAGCACAGGAGAGCACGGGGAAGCTCATCCCTGAAAGCACAGAGTGAGGAAGAAGGACCAACAGCCTGGGGTGGCTTTGCCCCTCAGGAGGGTATTTTTGGGTTGCAGCAAGCCACGGGCCTGGCTCACCTCCGGCACTGAAGGTGAACAGACACACATCCAATGCTGTGCCACTTTCCTGACCAGAAAAAGTCTTGGAACAGCATCGTCCTAAGAGTGGATCTTGTCTGACTCCTGCAGCCCGAGCAGCGAGGTGGCAGGACAAGGACACAGGCTCCCTTCCGTGGCTTCCTGCCTCCAGCCCGCACAAGCCCTGTGGTTTGTCCCTGCAAGCCCATCTGCTGAGGCAGTAACTGAGTGTGATGGGACACAGGAGGGTCACGCCGGTCCTGCAGGGCTCTTGCCAGCCCGTCCCTCCTGTTGTGTGGCACCGGGGATGGGTTCTCCAGCCCTTTACCTCGTTATCACCATCCTACTGCTGTGAGAGCAAGAGAGCCCCATGAGGTTTGGAAGGGTCCTCGTAGGTCACGCTGTCAGGTGCCTTGTTATCACAGGCACGGAAGTAAATCCTCTTCCCGAGATCCTCTTGAACATCCTCTGGATGTCTCCGTGCCCACCGAGCCAAGCACAAGGGCACAGTCACAGCGGGATGTGGATGAGGAGCAAGAGATGGGAGCTGGCAGCACTGCCATGCTGTGCCCTGTCCTTGCTAACCCTCGAGGGATCCACATGAGACAGGAGGGTGAAGCACCCTGTATAATATACAGAGAATATACAGTGATTGTGCCACAAGGGAGAATTGGGGTTGGAGGAGCCAATCACAGCTGGAGTATTCTCTTCAGCCTGGGAGTTTACAGCTTCCATGAATGGAAGAGAAAGATCCAGCAGAAGCACCAAGAACCAAGTGAGATAATGATCATTGTTTCTAAACTTTACTGTGTTACAGGGATGGAGCACCATCCATCCCGGCGCACAGGACCCCTGGGAAGCCGAGAAGAACCAGGTATTCCCATTTCAGTATTACCAGACGAGCTGCTGTGCAGCTGCCACGTTTGTAGTTCTCTTTTTCTAAAGATAGATAAAATAACTGAAGCACAAACCAGCTCCCAAACCAAAGCCACGGGAAAAATGTATTTGTCATCTCCACCACAGTTTATTTAACCAGTCCCCGGTGGGAGCGGGGAGCGGACTCCAGGGATAAGGTTTGAGGTGTTTGTGGTGAGGGCTCTCCTCACTGCTGATGTTCCTTCACACAGACATCCCCTACGGCATGATTGAAAGAAAAATAAAGCTGATTTGCTTTGCATACCTACTCCTTTCCTTCCCCCTGCCCTCCTGCTGTTTTTCTCTCCATGTCCGGAGCCACAGTCCCCATTCTCTTCTGAAATGGTGATGTGTCCCTCAGCATCTCCACTAAGGAGCACCAGCTCAGGGCCTCAGCAGGGAAATACTGATTGCAATAAATTGCAGACATCTACCACTGGCTATGACTGCAAATCCCTGTGGCTTTTGGGATGTGTTGAGCTTTGTCACCCATGGGCCAATCTGAAATGAGGGGTTAGAGACACGAGATCTGAAATGAATTCAACCTCTGGATGCTGCAGAGGGACTTTGGGATTGCCACACCTGGAGGGATGAGGTGACTGGAAGGTGACCATCAGAGGGGAGTTCATGTGTGCACCGGCGACTGCACCCCAAGGCTGGGCACAGAGCTGCTGCAGGAGCAAACCTGTTGCTCACATGAAGTGAAGCTGTTCCCTCTTCATCCTTGAGCTGCCTGAAGGGAGAGAAAATCACATCTATGACTGGTTCGGTGCCTAGATGAGCCGCTGCCTCATGGGCATCCCTGAAAGCCCCATCCAGCAAGGATGTCCTGCATCGCATCCACACATCCCGGTGTCCAGCTCAGTCACTGGCAACTGAGCATGGGGATGTGTCTTTTGGACCAACACCACTTCCCAGTGGAGTGGTCCCAGCGGTGGAGGAGGTTGATCTCACATGCTGCACTTTTATCCTTGAGCCCTGTTGTGGCTGTGATCAGGTCTTTGGCATTTAAGTCATTTTACAAAAGCGCATTTGTTGAGAGTCTGCATTCCTCTCAGGCTTTTCTGTTATTTAGTGGGTGTTTTATCTCTTCTACTGTGCCCAGAGGAGCTTTGGTGCATCTGTGCTGTTGAAGAAGGGTTGGCATTAAGCAAGAATCTCTAGCCTTTTGATGACTGAGAAAGCGGGGGGGCGGGAGGGGGTGTGTGTTAGAAATTTAAGCAGGATTTTATGTTGGCCTCAAACAGTGAAGAGCAGGATCCAGCCAGATGGAGAAAAGCCACAACAGGAACCCAAGCTCACCTGGCTGGGGTAGACCAAGCAGGGACATTCCTGCCTGGAAGAGTGTGTGATTTGGGGCATGGGGCACGATGATTGAGGAGGAGATAGTTACCGATGGAACTGTTTGCATGAAGCTACTTCCCAGGTTTAGGGAAGCGTGTGCTGGCTTCAAAGGGACACCATTAACGAGAATTTTATTAGCATCTAATAAGTGTTTTTCATCTCTGCACTGCTCAGACATTTACTCACCACCATGTGACGTGCTCCTGGCTGGATTATTCCTACCACACAGGATTTGGGACAGGTGACTCCTGTCTGGTTCGAGTTGCCCAGAGGCAGGATGGTGGTTTGCATGGAGCTCCTGCCGCAATCCCTGCTCCGGCTCCTGTCCCACGGTACCACTGTCCTGCCGGTGGCACCCCTGCTGTTAACATCACTGCTGGACCAGGGAACTAGATGCATGACATGCCCTCCATGGAAATTCAGCACTGACAAGCTCAGAAGGTGGCTGAACTGACTTAGCTTTAAACTGACCCATTTCTCTTTTCTTTAGGATTCCCTTATGATATCACCTCACCCATCCATTTCCCTCTCCCGCGGTGACTTGCTTTGCTTTTCATCATTTGTCTTCAACCTTTTTGCTTCCAGGACCTCTCCCTCTACACAATGGGAAGTTTCCAGGTCTGAGCAGGAGCCTCCCTTTCCCGCACGCCCCTTCGGACTATCCAAGTCCGAGACCCACTGACCACGCTGGTGGGAAGGTCGGGGGGTGTCTGTGCGATCCCGCAGGTCTGAGGATGCTTTGGGTTTCATGGGGAAGTAACTCCTGCAGCTCCATGGAGCGCCATTGCCCAGCTCAGCCCTGGCACCGTGGCCGGGAGCCCTGCACTGACCCTGTCCCTTCTCTGTCCCCTTCCAGCTGTCCAGGAGGAGCGGCAGCGGGGCAAGGACCGCAATGAGAACGAGGTGGAGTCGACAAGCAGCGCCAACGAGGACATGCCCGTGGAGAAGATCTTGGAGGCTGAGCTGGCAGTGGAGCCAAAGACAGAGACGTACATCGAAGCTAACATGGGCTTGACGCCGAGCTCGGTGAGGCACCGCTCCCCTTGGCCCCAAGGGAGGGAAGGGGTGGCCTGTGGGGCAGCAGGGTGAATGGCACGAGTACAGCAGCCTAGGTGAAAGCAAAGCCCCTGCCCCTGCACAGGCCCCAGCAATGGGACTTTCCTTCTCAAGAGAAGATTCTATATTAATCAAGAGCCCCATGTGCTATAGGGCAGGGAGACCCTTGGTGCTCAGGGAGCTCAGAGTCCAGTCAAGCCAACAAGCAGACCTGAGTGGCTGAAGTGCAGGGAGATAAGAGCTGTGAAAGCCGGCTGTGACTTCTCAGATGCAGAATTACAGAGCTGCAGGACTCCGAGAAGGGAAAAGCTGCAGGAGGTGGTTGAGGAGTTTGCTTTCAAGTGGTCCCCTTTAGAAGCTTGCACTATAACTGGGCCTGCTTGAAGCATCCGGGCTTTAACAGGGCTTTGTGCAAACAGGAGAGAAATGGGAAAAGAGTGAGCAGCTGCGATGAGGGAAATTCACCTGCTCCCTTTCCTAAGAGATTCCCATACCTGCAGGTTAAAGCCTGCCTGTGAAAAGCCTCCCTGCAAAGCAGCTGCCTCCAGATGTGAAAGCCAGCCTATCGCAGCCCTGTTTCTAGGATAAAGCCTATGCAAAGCCCTTGTAAGGAGCCCTGTCACAGAGAAGGTACTCGCTGCCCAGGCTGGTGCAGCCCTTGGGGAGCACAGGTAGAGCTGGGCTCTGTGAGCTAACCCCGAGCAGGGTCACGCACTGAAATACCCCTCTGCAGTTCCTACAGCTCTGCTTGGTGTCTCTGGGGTTGGGATGATGAAATGCAGCTATTTCCAGCAAGTCTAGCAAGCAGTCTGCAGTATTTGCTGCTACAATAATACTTTATCTCTATATGAGGCTTGGAGGATTGAGCCAGGAATACCTTCTCTGGCAGGGATTGACAGCAGATCCCAGCGTGTGGGAGTCCAAGCCTTGACTGCCTCAATGGGATGCTCTTTTTGGCTTTTACCTGCAAGGATACTCTGTGGCTGGCTTGCTGGGTGAGGGCTTTCAGTGCATAAGGCTTCCTGCTATGGATGGAGATGATGTTCAGAAGCAGATCCAGGGCCATGGTACTCACCTGCATTTGGGAGCGATGCCCTGCAGCCGAGGGTCCCATCACCATGGAGCTGCAAAGGGGCTTTTGAAGGGGGCAGCTCCACTGTGGTTAGCGAGGGGCTCTGATGCCATCAGGATTGAAAAGACTCGAGGAGAGCTGCAGCCAGCGTTGTGCTGCCTTGAACACAAACCCCAGAGAGCGAGCTGAAATAAATGGCTTCATCTGGCACTGCGTCTCCTCAGCCTCTTGTAGCAAATTGAAAGCTGGTTCCTGCATAATTCAACACGCATTACTGTGAACAAGGATGTGTGCTGCATCTAAATAGGAGCGGGAGGCTGGCTGAAATGCCCTGTTGTTGTCAGGCAGCCTCTGTCGATGAGGTGACATGTGTAGCAGGTTCAGCAGATGTATGAGGTCAGCAGCTCGCAGTGACGAGGCCACTGCATGAGGTGAAAGAAGACAGAGGAGCTGCCTGCTCCCAGCCCTCCCCTGGGAGCCCCTGCGAGGGAAAGGCAGCCGGACAGACAGGGGCAAACCTGGAGCCGTTTCCTGTGAGCCGGGAGCGCTGGGTCCTTTTATGTGTGCCCCTGCACCTCGGTCCGTCTGCACTGAGGCTGCCGGAGCTGCAGAGCTCCAGCGCTTGCGGGGATGTTCCCACCGGGCTGTGCCCAGGAGGTGCTGCCGGAGCTCTCATCTCCTCTCACGGATGCTCTTGTGTCACTTTGTCACCTCCTGGTGCCCTGCCTGCTCCCAGAGCAGAGATCCCAGCACTGGGCCCTCTGCTTGGCCAGGCTGGTGCTGGCACCAGCTCCTTCCACCCCAGTGTGGGGCTTCAGCACAGAGCTCAGGGCTGGTCAGAGTGGGGGCCAGGGGCTCTGCAGCCCAGGAGCTGATCCAGCAGCCCAGATATCCAAGCACACTGCTGATGAAGGCTGCTGCTCTGAGGCTGAGCGTGGGACTGGGGAGGGGGACCTCTATCCCAACACCATGATTGGCAGCAGGGAGGATGGGGTACATTCATAGTTTGAATAGATGAAGTTTTGGGAATGGGGAGTGCAGTGGGTTGTGATCCTTGTGAGTGGCACAGACAGGGCAGGACACTGAGCCAGGCAGAAAGGAGCTAAGACAGATCTGGTGGTGCAAATTGCTCTTTCTGCCTCAGGTGGTGGGAGGGTACCCGGTGTTTTGGTGACCATCAGTCACTGAAACACTCACTCCAAGTAGCTGCACCTGTGAACCCCTGATAAAAGCTCTTCAGCTGCTGCAAAGAGCTGATGATGGTTGGGCTGCTGGCCCTGGTGAAGGGGTGGACCCTCAGGTAGGGTCCTGTGAGCCATGGATGAGCAGGGCTGCAGGATTCCTCCACCCTGTGTGACCCCCGTCCCTGGAGAGCCGGTCTCACCCTCAGCAGGTACCTGTCCTGGGCAGCACAGGGGGGGTGAGGATGGGTTCCCCCTGTTCCCGCATTAAGCACCACCTCTGATGGGCTCCTGCCGCCGAAAGGCAAAGCCTGTAACTGAGAGCTCTTATCCCCATTAGCTCTTAATTGGCCTTTGAACGTTTGGTTTCAAGTCACCCTTTTCTGGAGGATGTCTCCAAGCTCCGGTTTTCCAGCGGGATCAGGTGCCCGCGTGTCCTTTCATCCGGTCACACTCCGGCTCCGTGCCCTTGCTATTTACTGCAGGAGGGATTCGCTTACGGAGCGCGGGGAGGGTTTCCAGCGCCGCGGTGCCGATCCCTGCGGGAGCCGGGCAGGGCCCTCCCGGCGCTGACACTTTCAGCTGCCTCTCCGCTGCCGTGATTAAGCTCTTCCAGGAAGCCCCGAGGTGGTTCCAGGAGCTGCCAGCCGCGGTGTAATTAAAGGCTGGGCCCCTCGCTGGGGCTTGGCAGGGGCACGGAGGCTGGGTACAGCGTGTGCTGCCCGCAGAGCAGGGATGAGCAGCCTGCCTGCTGCGAGCCCTAGCGACAGGGACGACCTGCGGGAGGCAGCCCCTGATCAAAGCTTTGGCACAAGCATCCCGCTTCCCTGAAATCACCCTTTCATGGGGCCTGCAGGCTCTTGCTGCTCCATAGTCAGGTTCTGCTGGAGCATGGGGTCTCCATAATTCATGTCTCCCTCCCATGGGAGCCAGGACACCGGGTTCTCCACCTGGCTGCTGATTAAGCTTAGATGAATTGAGGTCAGTCATGTTCCTGTAGCCTGGACACGGGCGTCCCTTTCTTCACCCTTCCTGCAGGTGCCTCTGAATGCTTACGTTCCCTGTTTCCAGTGAAACCCTTAAGGCCACAAAGCTCTTACTTGCACCCACTTGAAGGTTTTCCTGTTGTCCAGTGGCAACCCCACCTCGTCTCCCTCTCCTGTGGAAAAGCCCAGTCCCTGCTCACATCCCCTTCCCAGGGAATACCCAGCTCCCCCAAGTGACACCCCCTGCCCTTGCGCCCCTCGGGGAGCTGCTGGAGCCGGGCAGAGCAGGAGGGATGATCCCAGCAGCGATGCTCCTGGGCTGCTCTGCTGAACCCGAGCCGGTCCCCATCCATCTCTGCCCGGAACAGGTGAAGAGGCTCCGCGGGCAGGGGCCCCTCAGCTGCCAGACCCTGGGTATTTTAAGCCTGGCGAATGGGAGACGTTGGCCATTGAGGCCTGGGGTTTGTGTTTGCTGCCAGGGAACAGCGGAGGGGCTGGGATGGGAGTCAGCAGCGTGGTCTGCCCAGCCTGGGGGGGGGTCCTGGGGCGCAGCCAGCTCCGGGTGAGGAACAGCCTCATCCCAGTGGAACCACGGCTCGCAGGAGCGAGAGGTTACCCCGGTGTTTGTGTCTGCTCTGCCTCCAAATTCACACCCTTCCCCTGCGATCCAGGGGTGAGGTAAACACTGCTGCTCTGCTTGGGAAACTGCTCTTTTAAGGACATGGGAGAAAAATACTCGTACAATCAAAGCTGCTAGGTATCAGCAGGGATTACAGCGGGACGTGTGGAGGGGCTCATACATCCCTGTCCGGAGAGGTAAACCCTATATACACGCTTGTACTAGTGAGGTCTGTCTTGGCCAGGCTTAGACAGGCTCTTCCAGTTCCTAATCATGAGCCCACTTGAGCTGTTAGCAGTTCCTTTAAACAGGGATTTGGTGTGTTTAGGCTGAGTGTCCTCCTTGAGAGCAGATGGGTTTTGTTACAGGGTAATATTTCAAAGGAGAGGGGTTTTCTCTGTTTTTCTGCAATGCCCCCCCCCCCCCATGCTGGTTTATGGAGCAGGAGATGCTGGCTCAGGTCTGTCAGTCATCAGTCATTGTGATGGATGTTGGGTCTCTGCACTCCTGGTTCTGGTGGAGAAGCCAAGTCACCTCCTGATAACATTCACTTCTGGGGGGCAGCCAACCTCAGGTCCTTCCCTGCAGCAGGGAGGCAGCAAACCCCTTCAACTGCTCCTCCAGCCTCTCTTCTCCTTGCTCTGCCCCCTCCCAACTTTTCCATCTCCTTTCCTTGGCAGCCCAATGACCCGGTGACAAACATATGCCAGGCAGCAGACAAACAGCTCTTCACCCTGGTGGAGTGGGCCAAGAGGATCCCCCACTTCTCGGAGCTGCCCCTGGATGACCAGGTCATCTTGCTCAGAGCAGGTGAGTGGGAAGCATCCCCCTGGGGCTCTGGGATGCAGGAATGCGGCATCTCACCAGTGATGGGATCACACATAGATTTAGGTCCCAGCCACTTGAAAGCCATTAGTGATTCTGAGTAATAGGCTCTGATAATTCAGTTGCTAAATAGGATTCTAAAAGCCCCAAGGGACGTGTTGCTGAATGGGATCCAGAATGTTGCACAGCTGCCAATCAGCTGAAGAGTGGCCTGGCTTCATCTGGGATGGGTGAGGAGCTCGGGATGTGCACGGGGTGGTTAAACCAGGGCAGCCACACGCTGCCTTCCTCCCAGGCTGGGCTTGGAAGACCGAGTGTGCTCGGGGTCTCCGTGAGATCTCATCAGAGCAGAATGTTTGATCATAATTAAAAGCAGAAGGGGGGAGGGAGGCATCGCCTCTCCCACCCACCACGATGAAAATGCAGTTCGCTGGGTTTATTTGGAATTCCCTTGTGCTGCAGGGGTCTGCAGGAGCAGGGCTTTGGGAGGTGAAAAGCAGTTCACTGAAGAAAGGGATCTTCTCCCACCGAGTAAATGCAGGCTCCTGCTGCTGGCAGGTTGTACACACGGACCAGGGAGGGCAGGAAACCAAGAGCAGAGCTCAGTGAGGCTGTGTTTTAGGCATGAAGCTCCTTGCAAAGCTCCAATCAGCAGATAAGTCATTAAAACGGCTTTGGCTTGGTGCTCCCTTAAAGAGGAAGAAAAGAGGATGGATGAAGCTGCTTCCGTGGGGCAGGAGGAGAGGGGGCTGCAGACCCCATCCCAGGTCTCGTGGTGGCTCTGAGCTGGAGTGGCTCTGATGGGCTCCCTGCTCCAGGCATTGCTGCCGGGGCCTCAGATGACCCCCCCAGGTAACCAGGGGCTCCATCTATTATTGAATGGGGCGAGTGGCCTGCGGAGAGCAGCTGCCCATGAAATATTGAAGTATTAAATGTAGCTGAGAGCATCGTGAGGCTCAGCTCCAGCGTCCCTGGAGGCAGAGCTAAGCAGAGTGCGAGTGTGCATGGGCCAGCAGCAGCTTTCCGCTCATCCTGAATCATTCAAGAATCTTCCCTCTCTGAGCTTTCTGGAGGAGAAGGGAACCAGCTTCTGAAGCCTCTTTTCGCTGGGTTTTCTTGTTTCCAAGCTTGCTGTGGCTGAGACAGGAATAACCTGATGTTTTCTCTGCACTGAAGCCAGGCTGGCAAAGGATGCTGAGCACCACATCTGCAGCTGCAGTTCATTGTATAGGGCTGGTGAGGAAACTTGGGAGTGGGATGGATTCACACAATGGTCACTGCGCTGCCAGGTGCCTTTCCTGCTCCAGAGGAGCCAGAGCATCCCCAGAGGCTGCAGCCACCTTGTTTGATGAGAGTCAGGAATCTGCTCTGCTTCTCCAGAGCTTGGCCTGAAATGCAAAACCCTTTGGGTAGATTTGTTTGGTTCCTTACTCGGATTTGCTGCCTGTGGTTATCCCTGATTTTTCCTGCTTGCCTCTATCCTGTCAGCTCTTTGGGGATGTTCTGGTGAAAGCACTGGGTAGAAATAGGTTCCCCATTCCAGCTGAAACATTCCAGCTCTAAATGGGAATAATTCAGCTGAAGGATGCTGATTAATCCAGTGCTCTGTAGCTGGAATAAACCCAGCACAGATGCTGGCAGCTCCCTGCAGCCTCACTGCTTCCATGTATCCTTGGCAAGCAGGAGGCTGGATTCGGCACCACTGGGGCTGTGAGGAGCTGTGGCAGGAGGGTGATGGTTGATGGCTGAGAGTCAGGGCAGAGCTGAGAGAGCTGGTGCCACGGAGGGATGCTGTGATCCAGGGATGTTGTGCTCCAGGGACATGAACCAGCCCTGGGTCCTGTTGGTTGGAGTTGCTGTGGGTCTGGTGGGCAGCCCCACAGCCCCTTTCTGTGGGGCTGGCTCTGGGAGGTGCTCTCTGCAGCCCGGGTGCAGCCCCACGTCCCCTCCTCTGTCCCATTGGGTTCCACAGTGTTGCAATCCCTCTGCAGGCGCCAGGCCTCGCCCCGCATCGCCAAGTAAATGTTCCCGTGACTGGGGTGGAAACATCCTGTGGCCACTTAGGAAAGAGTGAACTTTATTCCTTGTCAGCATTCCTCACGGCACAGCCCATCTCTGCCGCAGTAGGTAAATACAGCACGTGGGGACCTTGCGCTTAGTCCAGGCAGTGAGAGAAGACGTTGCTGTGGCAGGAGAGGAGGCGAAGGATGTTGTTGTATTGCTTCTTCAACATGGGAAAGAAAACGCAATCCGATGTCCTGATGTTTCTGGACCCCAGAGCACCTTCAGGCCACGTGCTGCGTGTTGCAGAAGACCCCTCTTGTCCCACTGAAGATGGGTGAAAGCCACCAAAATTTCCAGCCTTCAAACTTTGCAGCATTTCTTTTGTTAAGGGTTTGCTTCAGGCATTCTTGAACTCGGGTGGGAATGAAGAGGTGTTAAATTAGGCAGAGAGCTGGGTGGTGGGGAGGGAGGTCACGTCTCCCTTCCCTTCTCCATTTGTAACAAGCTCCAACAGCTCCCATGGTGTCTGGGCTCAAAGGATGTGTTTTCCCATCCAGTACCATGTCCAGTAACTAATGAGACAAAAGCTGATTTCCAGGCAACTAGGGCAAGCTGTTAGTGGAGCAGTTTGTGGATGTAGGACATCCCTGTACAGTAGCAGGAGGGAGGAGAGGTGATCCCTGCCCGTATCTATATGGCAGAAGCAACAAACCTGCAGTCAGAGTTTTCATGGTCCTGATTTAATGGACCCTGAACCTGTGTGCCCGAGATGGCCTGACAGTGAGCCCAGTAGCCACACAAAGTGTTAACAGGGCTTGAACTGCTCAGAGAATGCAGGGTGGAGGGGAATTCGGGGCTCACAGTGAGAGGAGCAGGGCAGAGCTGTTTGCTCTGGTGCCTGCGAGGTTTATAGAGGAAGCTGTTTCCCTTATTAGCCATGTATTTTTAGTGCATTTGTGCCTTAATGGTTTTTTCCTGCCCTGACATCCAAGAAAGGGGTGGCTTCCACTCCCTTCCCATCTCCATCCAGCAAAGGCAGCTCTTGAGCAGTTTCCTTCTAGCGCCATTGCTGGTTCCCAATCCCACCGGGCACCCCATGGCTCTAACCCACGGCCTTGCTTGTTTTCTCCTCCCAGGGTGGAATGAGCTCCTCATCGCCTCCTTCTCCCACCGCTCCATAGCCGTGAAAGACGGGATCCTGCTTGCCACCGGGCTGCACGTGCACCGGAACAGCGCGCACAGCGCCGGCGTCGGGGCCATCTTCGATAGGTGGGCAGAGGGCCGGGCGCCGGGCATGCACCTTCCCGGGCATTCCCATCCCCGGGCCAGGCTGCTCCGATCCCTGCATTGCAGCCTGCTTGAGGGGTCGGACGGGGATGAGCTGTGTCCATCCCATGGTGTACGGGGATGAGCTCTGTCCATCCCATGGTGTACATGGACGCACCGTGTCGTGGTCCTTGCCTGCGGAAACCAACAGCCCGAAATAGGCAGGGAGAAGGCTGCCCAGTGCAAATCAAAGCCCCTTTCATGGGGTCCAGATGCCTTCTACTGTTACGAGAAGGCCACTCCTTGAGTTCTTTTCATCTTTAATTGGAGCAAGATGCGACTTTATTCTCACAGTGAGAAAGCACCAAAAGTGCCCGCAGGTTCCGCATGCGTATCCCGAGGGCTCTTTAATCTCGCGCTGTGGGAAAAGGGCTCTAAAGCCAGGCTGCCGGGGACCGCCTTCGTGCCTTTGCTGTGTGAGGAAGTTGGTTTTCAGAGCTGGTGACATCGTTTGTTTGCTGTGAGGTCACCAGTGCAGGACCATGACTTCACTGCAGGATCCAACAGGAAAATCTGGCCAATCCATGGAAAATATTTCATGACCGGCACCTGCAGCGAGAGCAAAGGGAGCAATAAATAGTCCCGCAGAGGAAATTGCTTTTAGATACCTGTTGGGGTCTTTATTATGATTGCTTATTTTCAGGCAGCTCTGAGGTGCCGGCGCCTTGGTGAATGTTGAACCTGCTTTTATGGTCCCTGATGTGTCTCACAGGAGCTATTGATGTCCCTAATGAGCTGGGTTTGATCCAGGAGGACAGTGAGGGCATCTCTTGGGCTGGTCTAAGCGAGCGCTGTCCCCTGGCCTCACTGCCCGTGCCCCAGGGGCACACCGGCTCTCACCTGGCTGTTTCCATTCCATTCCAACACTAACGCCTGTGGTTTCTGTGTCCTTTGCAGAGTACTGACAGAACTCGTGTCAAAAATGCGAGACATGCAGATGGACAAGACAGAGCTAGGCTGCCTGCGAGCCATTGTCCTCTTCAACCCCGGTATGTGCGTTACCTTCTCTCCAGTCCTGGCTGATGCTGCATCCTTTTGGCTCCCTTTCGTACCTGTAAAGCTCCATTGCAAATAACTAAGGGTACCCAGCTCCCAAGGGCAGGGCAAGAAGGATGCAAGTTGAATTAAGAGCTGCACGTGCATTTGCCACCTTACAAGCACATCCCTTGGAGGCCAGGGATGGATCTGGGTCCATGCCCTGTGTTGCTCTCTAGGCCTCCCTTCCCAAGGGAAGTTCTCCCCTTGCAGAAGGCAGCTCAGTTTCATGATCCAGAATATTCCCTATGCAGGGCTCAGCCTTGGCTGGGACCCGGCTGTGATCATCCAAGGGGATGGTGAATGCTGTTGTTGGAGCCGAGCTCTCTGCTGAGCTTGAGGGGCTTTGGCTCGATCCACATCACACTCTGCCCATTTTCAGATTTACAGCGGTTCTGTGAAAACAGAGTTCTGGTGCTTCAGGGAATTGTCCCTGAATAGGAGCAAAACAGAATGTAGATATCCTTTAGGAGAAAAGTGTGGATTAGAGCGAGGTTGGAGCATGAGCATTATTGTCCTCTTTCCCAGCCTTGTCATCCAAGGGCTTTTATTAACTGTGTTTCTGGAAAAGCCCTCTGAAGACCTGGAGAGGGTGAAAGCCGTGAAACGTGCTCGTAAAACGCACCAGAACTTGAGTTTCTGTCTGCAGTTTGCTTCGGTTTACACACTCCAGGAGCCATCGCTGCTGCTCTCCTCCCCCTGACCCTTGGCAAGGAGAAGGTTCAGTGCCAGGGCTCATCCCTGCTGTTGTGGGGAGCAAAGCTGCCAGCCCGCAGATGCCTGCGCAGCTCTCCTGGGGGTCTCTGTGTTTTAGAGAGGGTCAGCCCAGAGCAAAAGCAGACAGCAACCAAGGGCAGACCTCCACGTGCGGCCCCCCTTCCCTGCCTGCCTGCCCTGGCAGGAGCCTGGGCTGTGCCCCAGCATGGCTCCTGCTGTGTCCTTTCCCACCGGCCCCAGGCCAGGCCCTGCCCCAGGTTTGGTGCTGATTCTGGGTTGTTTTTCTGCTTGGTTTTTTTTATCATCCCCCCCTCCCTGTAATCAGCAGTAATTTATTGTCTGTAATTCGGGATTAGCCGTATATGGTAAAAGAAGGGGAATCTGGAGAGGTTCCCATGGCACGTGTGCTCAGGGATATCAATGGCTTGATTGTCCCTTTCACCCTACTAAAGCCAGCCCCTGGGGACCTGCTGAGCAGAGACTCTTCATTCAGCCCTGCCACAGTGCTCTGGAGGGAGAAATCCCACAAGGACAGGGCTTAATCCCTTCAAATGAGGGTCTGTGACCACTGGAATGAGCCAGAACGGTTGGGGTCAGGGTGTAAGGTGGGGTAAAACAGAGCTGTAGTCACAGTGCAAACCTGTCAGGGCTTGGATGCTCCCGGAGAGGTGCTGGGTAGAGCCATAAATACCTGGGATTGGGACCCTGTGTCCGCACCGTGCCCTGCTCTGGTGGTGCCGGGAGGGATGGAGGGAGCACAGGGGGTTCCCTGCCTGCCTGCAAGGTTTTGGCTGATGGTCCTTCCATTGCCTTTCAGACTCGAAAGGCCTCTCCAACCCGTCCGAGGTGGAGGCGTTACGGGAGAAGGTGTACGCGTCGCTGGAGGCTTACTGCAAACACAAGTACCCCGACCAGCCTGGGAGGTGAGTTACTGCGGTGCAAAGGGGGCTGCAGCCCAAGGCAGGGTCTGAGAGCCATCCACAGGGTCACTGCACCTCCATGTGGGTGCTGGGTCCCTCCGATCAGGGCCCCTGCACCTCCATGTGGGTGCTGGGTTCTTCCAATCAGGGTCACTGCACCTCCATGTGGGTGCTGGGTCCCTCTGATCAGGGTCACTGCACCTCCATGTGGGTGCTGGGTCCCTCTGGGCAGGGCTCTCTGTTCCCAGGTCTCCTGGGAGTGAGCATTTCTCTGCAGGGAAACCTCTCATTTCTCCCTGCTTCAGCTGTGAAGGTCCTTGGGCAGTGCCCTGTGAGTGCAGAGGGGTCTATTGCAGCACATGCAGCCGGGATGGGGTCGGTGCTGAGCCCTGGGAGCCCCCGCAGCAGGGGGAAGGGCATCATTTCCCTTTTGGCAACCCCAGAGCACAAACCACAGTGAAAATCAGACGCACATGGAGTTAATTTTCGGTGGCAGATGAGCATCATTGCTGGGAAGTGAAAGCCTCAATTGATGCTCTTTTCTCCTCTCCCCGCCTCCCCCAATCCAGCTGGGAATGGGAGGGGGAATTAGGAATGCTTTCCTGGACTGCTCTGGAGCTGAGTGGGCGCATTTTCCCAGTTACAGCCTGAAGCTGGCAACTGCCAGTTAAGTTTCTGACAGTCACTTGAGAACCCAGGCAGAGCGCTGGAAACTGCTGCTTGTGCGTGTTGCTGCCGAGGCGGGAATACCGGGAAAAGCAACACACAGAACTGGGATTCGCATCTCACCTGGGTGGCTCAGTGGAGGAAAGGATGCTCTTCCAGCAGTGGATGCCGTGGGCACATCACGCCATCAGAAGGGATATCGGTCTTATTTTCTGCCCTGTTTGGGTACCAGTGTGCTGGTGGATGAGAGCGAGGGTTGTTGAGGGGCTTTCTGGATGCTCATGGCTGGCTTGTGGCAGGGAGTTAGGATGTGTTTGACGTGGTGAGGGATGAGCATGGAGCAGGGGCCGTTACCTCTCCTCTCCAGGGTCTGTGTGCACCTCAGGCCAGCTCCCCTTCCAAGAGCGTTATTAAATTGCTGTTCCTAAACAAATCCAGACCCGGGCTTGGCTGCTGTGGTGGTGCAGAGGAGCTCTGCTCCCCGTGGGGCTCAGTGCGCTCAGCCAGCCCTACCTGGCCCCGGGAGAGCTGCGTGGGGAATCGTGGCCAGCAGCAACCCTGCATTGGTTCCCTGCTGGGATGAGCTCCGGCGCTGCTGAGCCGTGCTGCCCTCGCACGCTGCTGCTCGGTGCTGCAGCCTGGGAGGGGGCTGGCGCGGGGACAGCCTGCTCCTCATCCACCAGCCCTGTGCGTGACAGCAGAGCCGCTGAGCCACGGCTCAAAGGCAGGTCCTCAGGGCTCTGCCTCAGTGCTCAGGGGTGTGTAAGGCGGTATTTCAGGTCTGGTACCCGCACCGGAGGCTCTGGAGTTTGATCTCTCACTGGCTTTGAAAGACCTTGGTCTGGGGACTTCCTTGTGTGAGCCTCAGCACCCTTCTCTGGTGACCTGAAAGGCTTTTGCATGCTTAGGGCTGTCCTGAGAGCTGCGGCTGGGCACTGCTGACCTTAACTCCATCTCTTCTGCGGTGTGGGGTGATGGTGCAATGAGCCCAGGTGCCTCGGGAGGGTTAACTCGTGGGCTGGGAGTCCAGGGTTGCACAAGAGCTGAAGGAAGCTCTCGGGAGCTCTCTCCATCCTCCTGGTCTCACGGCACGATGCGATCCCCATCTGGGGCTGGAAACAAGTTCTTCCTGTGCTTGAGCAAACGCCTGGTGGGGCGGGTGTGGGTGCCCTGCTCCTCTCTGCGGGCAGTGCTTGGCTCCCACTGCTTCAGGTGCCCTTTGGTGTGGGGCTTCAGCCTGGTCCTGGCCATGGAGAGCCGGTGAGCCCCGTGTAGACAGCACAAGGGAACCTCTCTGAAGCAGGGAGGTGGAGTCATTCCAAGGAACAGCCCAGCCGTGCCCCCCTGCGCCATGGGCAAGGCTTGGGGTGATGCTTGGCAGCTGCAGGGAATGGGGCTGTTCCCTCCCCTCGGGCTGCAGCCCTGGCAGGGTGTGCTGCGGGCCGGTTATCTCACAGTTAACCGCGTCCCAGGGCTGGAGCCATCATCTGGTTTGGTTTAAAGCGAAACTTCCTGAATGGGATGGTAGGGCTGAGCTGTTTTTCCTGGCGCCGCTCCCACCGTTCTCGCCAGCTCAGCAAAAAAAATGGGGAGAGAGAAGCATGCACGCATGGAATAACTCCGTGTGTGTGTGTGTGTGTGTCTGCTGGAGAGCCCCTTCTCCCTGTGCTGCCTCAGCCTTTGCTGATGTTCAAGCCCTGGCTGTGCAGCACTAAAACCAAACACATGCTCCTGGCCATTAAAAAGCCTTTTTCCATGTTGAGAGCACTCGCACGAGGGCTGCGTGCAGGCAGGGTGCAGGCAGGCGATGTGGGACCCCATGGGCATCTCAGGGTGCTCACTGAGTGGTCGTACCCATGCATGATGATGCACGAAGCCAGCAGTGCTCCCCAGCCCAGGGATGGCCTTTTGTTTCTCACTGGACTCTTGCAGCTCAGCTCTCAGCACGTTGTCAGTGTCCACTGTGGGGACCTGCTCTTCAAGGCTGGGGACATAACTCATGATTCCTCTGCACAGCTCTGGGTGTAGCTCCATGGCTTTGGTGACAGAAGAGGCTGCACCTGACCCCCAGCCCTGCTGAGCAGGAGCCCCCAGGGAAGCTCTGTGGGGCAGGGCAGGAGCAGGGGTGTGGATGGGATGTGTGACCAGGTCATTCCTCTTGCCCCCAGGTTCGCCAAGCTCCTGCTGCGTCTCCCAGCCCTCCGGTCCATCGGCCTCAAATGCCTGGAGCACCTCTTCTTCTTCAAGCTAATAGGCGACACGCCGATCGACACCTTCTTGATGGAAATGCTGGAAGCACCTCACCAAATGACTTAGAGAACTGCTGCCGGGTCAGTCCCTCGCCCGGCCGGGGTCCCATGGGCCCCTTCCTCTGCTCCCCTTGCCCAGCCCATCCTCGCCTCCTCCCCCCGGCGCTGGAGGCACCGTCTGAGCCGGGGACCCCCCCGCCGCCGTCCTTGCCTCCTGGTCGCCTTCACCCTGCTCCATTTGCTGTCACTGCTGCGTCTCCAGACCTGCTCGCTGGTTCCCTGCGCTGTGTGTGGACAAGTGGGAGTGGACAGAGCCTGTCACCCACCGCCACGGCTCACACCCTGCCCCGGCAGCTCCGGATCGGGGTGAGCATCACCCCCCGGGCGGGCTGGGGACATGGGGACACCCCGCCCCGGGCAGCGAGGGGAGCGGTTGGACTCGCCGGGTGGTGCTGGCTCTGTTCGGAGGATGGAGCTTTTGACAAAGAGAAGAAAAAAAAAGAGAAAAAAAAGAATTCAATTTTTGGTCTGTACCTGGTGGCAGCAGTGTCGGGGGTTCCTTCACTGCCCCACGTGAGTCACCCAGGGCTGCACAGAGCCTTCTCCTTCCAGGTGGGAGCAGAGGATTTGGGATTGAGCTGGATGCCTCCCCAGTAACACGGTGACTCCCTCTCACCCACCCTGCAGAGGGTCCCATGGGCACCAGCACCTGAAAAACCCCTTTTGCCATCCCCAGGACAGCCGGGCATCACTGCCCTTCCCAAAGATGCCTCTGCTGGTGTGGAGCTGCCCCGTGGACATGAGCTGGCTGCAGCACGTGCTTTAAGGCTGCCAGGGACTTGGCATCACCCTTCCCCAGCTCACAGGGTCTTGCTGGACCCCAGCCCTCAGCAGCGCATCCAGCATCCGGCACCGGGCACAGCCCTGCTCCTGAGGCTGGGTCCAGCCTGTCCTGCTGGAACCATGCTTGATTTCATGGGCTGTTGCATTGGAGCAGCAGGAGCTGGTGTCAGCAACGGCTCCTCCTTGGACTTTGGGTCCTGACCTCGTCTCATGAGGTTTGAGGGGCATTTCCAGCTGTTGGGATAGGCTCAGAGGAACACCCTGAGCCCTGGCTTCCACCAGCCCTCCCCTTGCACAGGGGTTCCAGCTCATGCAGGAGCCTGCTCCTGTTGATTCAGCAGCTCTGTAAAACACTGCAAACAGCAGTTAGTGGGAGTGCTGGTAACTGTGGCTGTTTGTTAGTAGTGAAGCAAGAGCTGGGTACCCCCTGCCCTGATTCTCCCCTATATGTGGGGCTGAGAGGTCCCAGATGGATGGGGATGCAGGAGCAGCCCATGCCCATCCCTAGCCCATCCGGGATGCTGAGAGCACCAGCAGCACCTTGGCTTCTGCGTGCTCCTTCCCTCGAGGCTTGGTGTGGGGACAGCAGGGAGATGGGAATTAGGGACACAGTCCCAGGAATGTGCCCACACCCCATGGGATGGGATTCCCTAGAGAGAGGTCGGCCAGGGAGCAAAGCCCAGCAGAGCAAGCGATGAGGGATGTGGGGGTTTCCCCCCTTGGCAGGACTGGCTGTCCCAGCACAGCGAGGGGAGCTCAGAGCCAAGAACGAGGTGCCTGTGGTTGGCCAAGGGCTTCCCCTCACTTTTGTATCGTCTGTGCTTTACAACAGCAGTGTTAGGTCCCAAAGGTATTTCTCTTCTTGCTCCCTGTGGGTTTGTAACTGTCTCTTCAAACATCTTTGTGCTGGAGGGGGATGGAGCAGCGCCCACCTCTGGTTTTGGGGGGGCATGGTTGTCACCCCCCGGCAGCTCCATCCCTGCAGTGGAGCAGCCCATCTCATTGCTAAAGAAACTAAGGATGTTGGGGCATCGCCTGCCCTCAGCCTGGCCTGAAGCAGCGACCCCAAGCAGCGCAGCCAGGTTGGTGCTGGGCTGGGTTGGTGCTGGGCTGGGTTGGTGCTGGGCTGGGTTGGTGCTGGGCTGGGTTGGTGCTGGGCTGGGTTGGTGCTTGGCCGCGCTCCTCCAGCAGCCTGCGCACCGCTGAAAATATTATTAAACAGCTTCACCGTGCAGGGCTTTGCCAGGAAAACCAAGCGAGAGGCAGGAACACGCGGCGGGCGCCAGGGAACACGAGCAGGCGGCTCCGTGCCAGCATCAGGCTGGCGCAGCCACGGGGAGGTGGGAGCCCAGAGCCACTGCGGCCCCCAGCGCCGCCCTCAGCAGTGGGAAGGAGCCTGGGGCTCGCTGGCCGGGGAGGCTGAGGGTGGCTGTGGAAGGGCCGGCGCTCCCTGGGCTGGAATCAAGCCATGGTTCCGTGGGGTGGAACCGCTGCTTTCTGGTGGGGGGCCTGGGAGGGGCTGGTTGGTGCTGGGCTCTGGTGGCTTTGCAAGGCTGAGGTCTGGATGGCTGCAGCCCTGGTGCTGCCAGGCTGCAGAGTGGGAGCTCCCATGCCATGCCATGCCATGCCATCCCACCCCGTTTCATTTCATGCCGTGCCATCCTGTCCCATCCCATCCCGTCCCATTTAGCATTTGACGTGATGACATCAAATTGCCATGAGCAAGGGGTGTCCTCAGCCAGTCCCGTGGTGCAAAGGGGAGGCTGTGGGGGTGTCTGCATGCCTCAGTTTCCCCACTGGAGCAGAGCACAGCCTCAGGTCCTGCACTGGGGAGGACTGTGCATAGGCCTGGGCTGAGAGCCCTCGTGTTGCTGTGGCTCAGCATGACCCTGTTGCTTTCGTAAAGCCCATTTGATGTCCCCAGCAGCCACACAGGTTGTCAGAGGGTCCTGGATGCTTGTGATCAGCTCCCAGAGCCCCCCAACACCACCAGCCCTGGCAGCAGGAAAAGCTTTTGTGCATCCGTCCGGCCCCATCTGCCACAGCAGCCTTAAAGCAGCGTGCTTGTGCATGAGTTTGAGTCTTTCATTTGTATTCTCTTTCACTTTGGGCTTTTTGTTTTGTCCTCATGTTATTAATGATCGATATTCTCCAGGCTTGTTTGAGGAGGTGATACGTGGTTAAAAGAGGCACATGATCCGCTCGGGAGGTAGGACTGTGATTTAACCAGATCTCCAGCAGGAACCTGGTTTGATTGGGGTGATCTCTTGCTGATTTCTTATTTTTGGTAATTCCTTCTCGTTGGTGGGACAATCTTTAATTTTCTAAAGATAGCTCAAAGAGCAGCCCCGCAGCCACCGCCTGCACCCTGGATGCTCCTCGCTGCCTTCTTGTGTGTGTGCACGTCTCAGCTGAGCCTGAACCCCAACCCAGTGAGTCCAGGGCCACCCCTGCGGTGCTGAGGCCTCCTGAGCATCCCCCAGCACCCATGGGTGCAGGGAGCCCCAGCCCCACACAGCTCCCGTGCTGGGCCCAAGACATGGGAGCACGGCTCAGGAGCTGGTGCTGGCCCCATCAGTGGTGGGCGAGCATGGGCTGGCTTCAGCTGACACGTATGTGCGTGTGTATACATGTATGTACTGTAGATATATACACTGTATAAATAGCCTCACTCACATATACATATATTATAACTGTAGCAATTACAGACTTCTCGTGGTTTCTTGTTTTAAGTCCATTTTCCCTATTTTTTCCCTTGCTTTTTTGTTTGTTTGGGGTTTTTTTTTGCTTCATGTAAGCGAGTACATCGTATCCGCAGCCCTCTCCGCATTGGCTGATGCCAAATCTGGATCTTTATTCCTCGTGGCAAAGGAACTGCATCTATTTTAAGATGCTTTTTTGTTTTGTTTCCTTGTTTGTGTTTGTGTTTTGAGCAGCAGGTGGGTTTAAGACTGGCTTTAGCGATTCCCAGTACTTAGCGACGGATGCCTTGGCTATGGGATGCATAGATAACAAATAAAAATACATTAACATTTAGAAAGAAAGAAAGAAAAGATAAGGAAAAATATCTAAAGCATCAATAAAGTGAAAATCTATTTTTGTACAAATGTAATTTTATCCCTTCCGTATTCTTGGCTATTTTCTTTCTGGATGGTTTGGTTTCCTCTACAGAGATTGTTATAACCTCTCCGTTCCCTCTCTTGCTCTCAAGTGTGCAGCCCCAGGGCCAGGGATCTGGAGAGGAGGGAGGAATTCTGACGTGTTTTAAAGGCTTTATATGAAATCTCTTTTGAAATAATTTTTTGGAATGAACTTTTTATTTCCCCCCCCCCCACTTCCAAGATCTCCTTTTGTGGGGTGGGGAGGGAAGGGGCTGGTCTGGGGGTGTCTTTTGTCACGTATATCCGGCGTTCCCGCAGGTCTGTTTTACTGTGAAATCACTACCGTGTATTATTATTCACTTTAAAAAAGAAAAAAAAAAGGAAAAAACCCAGGAATTGCTGCTGGAAACGCCAGTGTTTGATGAACAATTGTACCAGAATTGTGGGAAAAGAGAAAAAAAAGAGAAAAAGAAAAAAGGAGAAAAAAAAAGAAGAAAATATATGAGCATTTTAAAATATAACCCCGTCCAAGTCCTCTTTTGTTCTTCACCCGTGTGTCTGCAGTGAGTCCTTCAGGTCCCCCCACTGCGGGTCCCCATCACCCCCCTTCCCAGGGGATCATCCTTGCAAGGCCGAGGCCAGGTAACCCCAGCCTGGCTGTGAAGGGCAACAGCCGGAGCAGGGTGTGCTGACCGGCTCCAGTGGATGCTGCTGTCCAGCCCCATCCCTCTGGGAGCCACATCCGTGCCGTGGAGCAGGGCGAGGGAGGTGCTGGGCCCCCGGAGCAGCGGGTGTGTGAACAGGAGCCGTTAGCACTGGCCTCAGCTTAACCTGGATTCGTTGCCAGGTACAAACAAGATTGAACTTGCTCGTGGGTTTACAGTGGAGATAAATCCTCCCCAACGGCTGCAGAGCCGGTCGAGTAGAGAGGGAAAATAGTTTCAATTCGGTTAGTGACGATCGTGTCTCTCACTTGCCTGCAGTGGTTTTTCATTTGGAAGCCCTGGGAAGGAGCAGGATGATCCTGCTCAGCCCCATCCTGCTGCTCACCTCCATCCCCTGTCCCGCTCCCCACCGGCCCCAGGGAGCCGGCACCCCCCGGCCACGCTCCCAGCCGATGGCTCCCGGTGCAGAGGGTGGGTTTGTGCCTCGTTAACCTCCAGGCAGCAGTTTGTGTTTAGAGAGTAAATATTTACCTCCCGGAGGGTTTTCCCCCATCTCCAGGGCGGAGCAAGCTGGGATCCCAGGGGATGCTCATCCCTGTTCCATGGGCTGCCCACTGGCTCCAGACCCAGCCTTTGCTTTGAAACCCGGCTTTGTTTCTATATTTAAAGATGTTAATAATGGAAAGAAAAGCAAGGCCAAGGTGGCCGCTGATGGGCTTTTTTTTCTTTGTGGCTGGCTGCTGCTGTGTGTGCTGCTGCCCTCCCAAAGGCCGCGGCTGCCCCAGCCCCAAACCCGCTCGGGAAGGGCTCTGCTACCCGGGAGGCAGGAGGAGGTTTGCACCTTGGCCAGATCTGCTCGTTGCTGTTTCTCAGCCTCTGCAGGGATCAAAGTGCCTGTTTTGACTCCCCTCCTGATGCCTTGATAACAGAGGGTGGTTGTAATGCAATTA